TTACACTTATTAAGAATCACAATTTCTTTATAACAATAAAAATCCGCGAAATATAAATAATATAAAATAAAAGTACAAATATAGTTTTTATTATAATTATTTTAACTTAATCTTATTTTTCAATAAAAAAAAAGATAATTTTAAAAATTACGGAAATCTTATAAAAAAATGTAATAAACCAAGTTCACAGTTTATAATTAAATCTTTTTTAATGTTGTTTCTGAGTTTTTTTTTATTCAAAATTTACTGTTTCTAAAGTGCAAGTAAACATTTATTTTCGTAATATAAACGTTTATAAATAGGGACAATTAAAAAAAAATTCACACGGTTTTCTCACTCTCCTTTCTCACGTAATTTAAGTAATAACTAATAACTCCAAGCCTTCCGTCTTAAATATCGCAATACATCATGCTCGATCGATGAAACATTCGATTTTTCAAATAAAAGGCTTACGTATCGTGATTAATCGCTCAATCGAACAAAAAGGTTACAGTCGCAAACTGAACCGATGCCCATTCTTGGCATGATGCTTTTGATGTACAGGCCTTGATCTCATAGCATGTTCTGCGATCCTGATGTCGCAAATATTCCTGCGTCCAAGTATGCATCGAAATCTCTTCTATTGTCGCTTTATGTTGTGCGCCGGAAAAAGAAGATCATTAAGGTCGCATCGCAACCAATCGCGTAACTAATTTCTCTTTCTCCGTCTGCCAAACTGCCTGAGAAATTTAAGCAAACCTCTTTCGTGCGAAACTTCCAGCGCGTTATTTTAGTCACTCATATTGCAGTTTTATATGTCGCCAAAATTATACATTCGAGCTCTTCACAAATATTCTTAATATAATGGAATTCTATTGTATTTAGACTAATCAAAGAACAGGATATTCGGATAATTAGTTCTTCCTGATAATTAAAACGAATATATTTCGGTTAGCTGAATATTCAGCTAAACAATGTTCAGATAAAAAAATTGAAAGAGTTGAAAGATTTGTTCACAAAAAAATTTAATAAGAAAAGATAATAAAAACAAAAACAGAAATTATCTAAGCTTTTTTTAAAAACGCTCTGAGTATAAGCACAGATTTTTAATAAATAAATTTTTATCTGAATTGCTGTCAAAACAGTGACAATAAGATTTGAAAATAGGAAATCATCTTTTCTTCCGGATAAAAAAACATCCAATTTATAACAATTGCTGTTTAATTATTAAAGCAAACTTTAAATTCAAATTCTGTAAAAGTAAATTATATACAAAACTAATCAAAGAATATGATTTTATCTATTTGCATTTTTAATGACTAATTCATGAAACGGTCTTTCTTTTTACTGCTATATGCTATAAAGTCTTGAACAATTTTTGTAAAAAAAAATTAACTCCTTTTCAAATTCTTTCTTTAATTAACTTAATATCAAAAGTTGAATGTTAACGACGTTATTAACATATTAGTATAAGATATTCTGCATATATGAATTATGCTGTATGATTAATAGTTACACGTTTCAGAGTTAAGTATTACTTCATTTAAAGTGTTGTAGCATGTTTGCGAGTAGCTCCTGAGAAAGTTAATTTTCCCTTGATGAGACTAGCAAAAGTGTACTACATTCTTCGCGAATGATGTCAAGTAACGTACGGGGGTTTCAAAACGCACGCACGCACACGCACGTACACGTGCAAAATGTGAATATATACTCGGCAGGTGTGCATTCAGAAGCTAATTCTACAAGTATGAGTATGTAGCAGTAGATCTAATGGCATAATTACAATCCAAAGATGAAGTAATCAGGCGTGTGCAGGATTCGATAGTGTTGCAAGCTAGGATATCTTCATGCAACGAAGAAAAACTATGAGAGTCGGGAGTGTCTTGAAGAAACATTTAAAACAGTTTTAAATATTTCTTCAAGACATTCCCGACTCTCATAGTTTTTTTTTCGCTGCTTAAAGAAAATGTTCTATCTTGCAAAATTATCGAATCCTGCGCATGCTTGATTTCTTCATCTTTAGATTGCAATTATGTCATTATGCCGACTGCTACATGGTCATACACCTAGAATTAGCCTCTGCGCACCTGCCAAGTATATTCACATCTCACGTGTACGTTTAATATATAATTACATACATAACGTACATCTGTAAAAAAAAAATGATAATATTGCGTCTTTAATTATTTACAATATTCTTTATTTATTAGGTGTTGGAATTAATTCGTAGCGTTTTACAAGTGATGGGAAGTACTTTCATTAATGTATTTTTTAATGCTCATGTGAAATAAATAACATTCTTTCATTAAAAACGCTACGAATTAATTCCAACACCTAATATATTCAATGTAACTTATTTAAGCGATTTAAGAATTTCATGAGATAATAGAAAATGAATTTGATATTAATTATTTAAATATGGTTCTGAAAACTTAAACGTGATATAATGATTGTTTTTAACTGTATTTCTGCAAACAAAACAATTCAAAGTGCGATACTTTCAAATTATTAAGTACATGAGAAAAGATTTGAAAATTTCGTATAATTATCATTGTAATTATACTTCTCAGCAAATACTAAATTATATGTAACGTACCCATCAGTCCCGTAATTTCCCACTTAACAATTATAATTGTAACATAATACATGTGTTATATTATAATTATATTGTTAAATAGGAAATTATAACTAATAGGAACGTTACATATAACTTGGTGTTTGCTGAATTTACAGATTGAAAATTAAATTTTATTATTTAATTTTTATTAAGCATATGTCTAATACGTTAATAACTAAATTAATTTTGATTTCAATGTTGATTTCAATGCAAATAATATTTTTTTATTTTTGTGAATTATTTGAAAACAATTACAACCACAGCTATATTTGCTTTTTACTTCCAATTTTCGAAAATAATTTCCATTTTGCAAAATTATCTTCTTCGAGTACTGAAAACAGAGAACAAATTTAATGTGATTCATTTTACCTCGCTATAATTTGGTTGTCCAACGTGTAACGTAAATGAGGATTCAGGGCGGGGGAAGCAAAGAAGAGTAAAATGAATAATGTCACAGCGCCATACGCGATGGAGCACCCAGATTCTCGGCAAGCAGTAGGTCATGTCTCGAGCAGAGCGAGGGATTTTCACTTTCATCGCGACCAAGGGAATGCCTACATAGATCCGTTCAACAAAGGCATCGCCGAGCGTAGCGGCGGCTTAAGTATGACACGCGGCTTCGACAAGAAGATCGAGTATTCATAACCTTCCATTGAATTCGCGCAGCCGTGCGAATTCTACGTTCCACTTGGCCCCTTCCGTGCCCCCACCTGCAGAAGATCATCTTATGGTTTTATAGGGAAGAAAAAGTGTTGCGCGAGCGTCCTCCGTATTTCTTTCTTCTTCTTCTTTTTCGCGCCGAAATGATGGGAAGATTCGCGAACAAGAATTGCGTCAAGGTCGATGTCGACAAATGTTGACTAGCATCGATATCACTTCGGTAAATCTTCTGTTTTGTTATTATCAATTTACATTATAGATAATTAAGGATCAAATCCTGAAAAGAGCGACAACAGATCATAATTTAAATCAATTTTACTTAACTAATATTATTGCCACAAGTACAGGTTCTTTAAATATCCTCTGTACGTTATTATTTTAATGTACGTATAGGTAAAGATCAAATCCTGAAAAAACAGAGATCATAATTTATTATAAATCGATTTTACTTAACTGATATTACTGTCACGAGTAAATTCAGATGTCCTCTGTAATGCATAACAAGCAAAGTTGTGGATAGAATTTTATTCCGAATTCCGTAACGAATCTTCGAAAGACAGGAAGAGACAGTAAAAAACCATCGATAATTTCCATTTGTTTCTTTTAATTAAGAATTACATGGAATGATATCCGACTATTCGTCTTCTTCTCGCGTGGATACACAGCATCCTCCCGCAATTCACGGTAGGGCATCGCCACGGCGAAAAAAAAGGATCGTGGCCTCCAACTGCGCTCACTTCTTACGTCACATGATAATAAGCGCGCTCGGCATCGAACGCGCCGTCTAGGCATAGCAGCTCCTCACAGCAGCTTCTCATGGTGCAATCTGGGATGCATTTCTTCTCGTAGGATTTAAACGGATCGGGAAGGAGGAGGTTTACGGAAGATCTTTTGCCGAGACCTCGAGATCACGAGAGGCAAAATTTTAAAGAAATAAATGATTAAGATCAAGAATGCAGTTTAGTCAAAAAGAAAGGAAATATGTATCTAAAAGAATCGTCTCCCGAAAGATCTTTTTAGACACATAAATGTATAAAATTGCTTTGATAATTAATAAATAAAATTAATTACTTAACAAATTTATGATAATAATATTATTATTATGCGCATATATATATATACAAATCAATATGGCTCACAATACAAGTGTAAAATATATTGAGTATTGCACGCAAATGGCGAAGCAACATTAAATGCTGCTTAATGTCTGACCCAGAAAGAATCTTATAACCATAAACATACATGTAGTAATGACGAATATAACGAACACGTAAAGAAAATTACAGAAAGTGACGATAACATGAGGATAGTAAGTCAATCATTGAATTAAAATGAGATGTAACATAAGATATACTTCAACACTGTGAAAAAAAAGAATTAAGAGAAGAGTAGAAATAACGTGATGAAAGATATAGAATTGAAATTTTAATGAATGTGTGAATAATTATCATTGATGCTTATTACATCTCTTACCTTATTATTATTATTCAATATATACACTTTTTATAGTAATTAAAAAATGAAAGTAAACTGAAATAATTTGTTTAATAAAATATAAATATCTATTATTCTAACAAAAAATAAATGGATATTTTTATTAAATAATTTTTGCTACTGTACTTTTTAAATAAAAATAGCAATGTATAATCAATCTAAACACACATACACACACGCGCGCGCGCGCGCACACACATATACATATACGACAAAATCTATTATAGATTTATTGTATATTTATGTACGTACAAAATGAACATATGAAATATGAAGGTAAACATTTTTGAAGAAATATTAATCGCGTATTTAATGTAACGTTTACAATGCGAGCAATGTTTATAATGCGGCAAAGTTGCAGCTCCGATAACCTACGACCAACGGCGCGATCTTGGTACTCAGACTTTAAGATCAAAGAGAATGAAATGTCACGAATGTCTTCGAACAATACGTGTGCGAACGAGAAAGGGAAGGACGAGCAGCAGATGAGAAATATATCGCTCTCATGCCATGGCTAAGGAGAAAAAGAAGAATGCGGTCCATTTAGAAGGGCGCAACCACTCGATCCAGAAGTGAGGTGTTAATGCCACGCACTTCGAAATCAGATGGAATCCGATTCGACAAACCTTGATCTTTAAAGTGCGGCTGTCGAAGTTGCCTCGCGAGAAAGAACATCTCGGTCTTCGCAAAACGCCGACAAAATACCGAAGAAGTTATTTATTGAACAAGAGGAATATCTTCGATATTATAAAGTTATATTACTTTATTGTCTGTAATGAAATTGTGCAAGGTCCTTGACTTCCACTTGTTCACTTCACCTTTCGGGTTACTGCAGTTTGAGATGCGTTTTGTTTCGTATATCCTCTATCAAGAGAAGGCGCCCAAGTATATTGCTAAAAGTAATTAAAAAGAAATATGCATGTGCTCGTATCATACATGCAATAAAAAGTTATAAAGGGAGATCACATTCCTCTTACCTTTAAGCTTTTTCCTTTAGGCGTTTAATTGCGTAAACAACTTTCCATGAAGCTTGATTAACACATTAATTAAGTTTAACACATTAATCATATTGATGACTTAGGAATAAAAATTTTAAAAATATATTTATATTTAGTAAATATTTACTTATGTTAGAATTTTTTTAATATAAAAAATATCTATAAACATATAATCTTTTTCAGTATGAAGTTTCCAAGGAAAGCGATTTCAAAATTTGTTGCCAAATGTCATAAAGACTTGAATCGAGACTTTTAGAAAGATATCTCAAAAGCAATTAAATAATTATATGTTCCTGTGACTGAAACAACTATGCCGTTCACACGATAACGCGACAAGGAAAAGATGGCACGAAGAGCATGTTCGAGCGAGTGCTTGCATTGCTCGTTCCTCTGCGAGTCACGCGTAAATCCGCGGGCAGAAACAAGTAGGCGTAACCGCGATTTCTAATTATTCGATAATTTGTACAACTGCATTCCAACAAAGTAATGCGTTTCACAATCGAGAATGCGATTAATCCTACAGTGTCTTCGTCATGTCTTCGTTACACATTCGACTAGATTTAAGCGTTTTTGAAATGTACGTTATTATTCTTTTTTTTTTCCCCGGATCATTTCCCACGACAGCCACTCCACGACAATTCAACGGCGACCTCAGAGAACGTTTCAGCACGTATGATGCATTCGACAATCACATATATAATTTCATACTGACGATCGAAGGCATCATATAACTGTCATTGTGTAATATCGCGGAAGTCAGTGAAGTCAATTCATCAAATAATTTTTTATACCAATTACATTTTGAATATATTATCTCATTTCACTTCACTCAATCAACTTATTGTCAATATTTTCATACCAACGTCATTAAGCGATATTAAATATTATTAACAATGAGAGTATAAAA